CTTTGCTTTGAGAAGAAAGCCCCAGAGCACCACATTCCAGAATGGTGGAGGCTTAGAGAATTTGTTCCTTGGAATGGGATTCAGGGTGGTTAGCAACCTAGGCCTCCGTCCCTATAGCCAGGAGAGAGGGAAGCCTAGCTAATGCTTCTGCTGACAGCAGATCTGGGCATCATCCACAAGGTGCTGTGTTTAGGTGCATGTGTGCTGCATGTAGAACTATAACACTTAATATTTGACTCTGCTCCAGGTCTAATCCCCCAAACACACTATGAGTTTTCTGTAACTGTTATAATATTACCCCAAACTCAGAAGTTTAAAAGAATAGAAATGAATTCTCTCTGGAGGCCAGAAGTTCAAGATCAGAGTGTTGGTAAGGTCATACTTCCTCCCCAGGCTTCAGGAGACAATCTTTTGTCACCTCTTTTGTTTCTGGTGGCTTCTGGCAATCTTTGGCTTCTTGGTTTGTGGACACATCACTATAGTCTTTGTTTCCAGCTTAAAATTGCCTCTCCTCTGTTCCTCTGTATGCTTTCCTTTGTATGTCCCTCTAATGATGACACTTGCCATTGGATTAAGATAAAACCAATCTCTTTATCACAAGATTATTAATTTTATCTGCACAGACTTCTTTTTGAAGGGGCCACCGTCAACCCACTTCACACCTGATCTCTAACTGCTCTGAGGATGGAGCCCAAGATTTTGGAAAAGTATATAGTAGGGAGACCGGCCCAGCCCCGGGGGACAAAGGGATGACATTTCAGCCACGGATAAAGAAAGAATAAATTAGAGGAGGGAGAGAATAATATTCTAGGTAAAGGGAACCATATGCATGAAGGCCCTGAGGTGACAAGGGGTCATCCATTCCATGATTAGAAAGATCTATGTGGCTGCAGTGTGGGAACAAAGTGGGAGAATGGCTGGGATGGGGCAAGTGACAGCAGGCACAAGTGCTGCAGAAGTTTGGAATGTTAAAGATGGTGTTGGGCTGGGGGCTCCCTGGGAGTCCACACTCTGGGCCTGATGTTCCTGCATGAAACCTTAGTGATCTCAAGATAAGGCATGAGCCTGGACCCAGACCTCATCTTGTCTTTACTATATGGCCTCTGAGTGGTCACTTTACTTTTTTCATCTTTATTCCTTCACTTGTAGAACAAGGATGATCCTGCCCACCCTGGGTGGCTATCATGGGGATGATGTTAGAGTAGAGGACAGTTTCTCCATTCTGTGTAGCTCTAAGCACCTGCATTCATGGGGTTCTATGCAGGACCGTGGGAGCTGAGTGCTGTTATTAGCTATATTTTACAAAGGAGGATAATTAGGCTGAGAAGGTAAGTGACTTTCCCAGGATCACAAACCACCAAATGGCACAGTCCAGATTCAAACCTAAGTAGTCCAGCTCTTTCTGGTACAACTTGCTGGTACTTAACTACTAAGCCACACTGTCTCCTTGATAACCTGGCACAGGGCCTAGCAGTGCCCATGGTGACTCCTCCAGAAACAATTTTTCTTCCTCCTGTCTTTCACTGTTTAAATATTAAGGTTCTCCAGGAATGATTACTGAACAAAGTATAGTAGCACAATTTAGGAACCCCTAAGCCTGCCTTCTGGCCTCCTTGTATTATACACAGCTAAAGTAGGCAGGAATATTCATAGTTTAGCTCACCATTGCAAGATAACTGAGTGACCTCTAGACTCCACCTTTAATGATCCTGGACACAATCAGATCTTTTCTAAAAATGCCAGTTAAGCTTCTCTATAGGTACCAGCAAAACTCCTGTTAGGAGTAAGGGTCCTACCATGAAAACTAACAATTTTAGATATCAAGATGGCTATTTTCAGATAAGGAGTGATTATATATGGTTAACTCCAACTATAGGACAACTGAGTAGGAAGGCCTCTTATGTTGGGAACAAAGAAATCCCTCCTATTCTCATTGGTCCTCTATTAAATACTTGGGATGGAACTACCCCCCCCCCAGCAGTATATACACACTAATTTTGCAGGTTGAAGACTGATTTTCAACAGACTGGCTTGGTCACCCTGGAATTAGATGAGAGGCCTGAAGTGGTACTCATTGATCCTGTGGAACCAATTTATAGTCCTGGTTACACCCTGGATGGATAGGGAGATGCACACTGGGATTTGTATGGTTACAAGTCAGGAGTGTCAAAAAATCAACAAACCTGCATACTTATCTCTTCTACAACATTGATGGTCTAGAAGTATATTTCATTAGTATGATCATTTGGCTTCTATCTTTATCCCTTCTCTAGGATTAAAAGATGTCATGCGACACATTGAGGCCTTGACCAACTATACTCAACAGGCCTTAAATGATACCTTGACTGGTCTCTCTCTTTCTCCTAAATGAAGAAGTAAAATTAATGAGGCAAGCTGTCCTCCGAAATCAAATGGCCTTACACATCTTGACAGCAGCACAAGGGGGTGCTCGTGCAGTTATAAAGCTGAATGTTGTATATATATTATGGCACTTATGTTAATATCTGGAGGGCCGCTTAAGATGTTAGATGACAGGTTAAGACCGTATCAGATTTCAAAATTCCCTGGATCTTCTCCTTATCCTCTATGGAAGGCTATTACTGGATCTTCCTAGTGGAAACATTTTTTGGGTATATCCATAATAGTCTTGTTGATCATACTGTTTGGCCCATGTGTATTTAACTGTTTCTTTGGCTTTGTCTCCTCTAGACTCAAAGCTATATGCTTACCTGAGATAAGAACCCCTGACATCTATTGAGGGCCTTTAGATAGACCCTCTGGAGAGTATGTCTAACTGCCAGTCATAACTCTGACCTCTTTCTGGCTGAAGATGCCAGAATTGTCATTGCCCCCTGCCTGCTCATGACAGTTAGGGATACCTCTTCAGAGGGGGAATATTATAGACAGCTAAGCCAGGCAGAAATATAGACAGTTAGAGAGGACTAGCCCCTAAAGAGAGCCAGGAAAAAGGTGAAACACATCTCAACTATGGCTGGAGACACATCTGTTGGGGACCAGGCCTCAAGAAAGACAGAAAGACCAAGCCTAAATGTTTCTTTGAAGGACAAACATCAGGCCTAATGAAGTCTAGATAGACATCAGTCCTCCCAGTGAGTGACCAAGACCTCCAGATCCTTCATTTCCTAGAAAATCTTTGTTCTTTCCACATACCCTGTTGCTTGACTTGTTTCCCATTGGACCACTATTACCTAAGTGACTATACTTGTATCCTTATTGGTTAACCAGAGTTGTAACCCACATCATTCCTGTGTGGGTATTGCTCTATAATATTTCCCTAAAAGTAAGATCCTCGGATGAAAGAAGAGGAAAAGATATATTTATGTATATATGCAGGATAGTTTGGATAATTGTACTGCTGATTTCTGCTGGTCTATTAAAAGGAGCAGTTAATACTTAAATTTTTTTAATTATTTTTTTCTTTTTAATTTCTTATAACTTTATTTTTATTGTTTCATTCTTTTTAATTTTTTTTATTCTTTTTTTTTTTAAAAAAAACAATTTTGCAGGTTTATATGTGGTAACCTAAACAACCAATTTGAAGATAACATCATGCAATACAGCAACTACTGTTGAATTCCTATTATTTTGTTTAGTGAAATTTTGTGTTATTTCTAATGCTTTATTATTATTATTACTATTTTGTGTTCTTTAAAAAATAAAGTTGGATCGTCAGCAACCTATTTGTGTCTCATGCTGCCTCTCATACGCTTTAGCTCTCCCTCTTAATAGTTCCTACTCTTAACCTCCATTGTTCCTAGAATTTATTTTATGATTTTTAGAGAACTCTAACTTGGCTTATCAGACATCTAAGAGGTTAGGAGATATATGTTCATAATTCAACTCCTGTATCATATTCACTTACACCTGGGGACCAGTTCTCTAACAGGCCTGAACTCTGTTGGAAAGACTACCTGCCTGCCCACAGAATTACTGATGGGACCCCAGGAATTTCTTTGCCTAAGTGAGAGTCGCCTAGATCATGAGCTGCAGGCCAGCTCAGCCATCAGTTCCTTGTGTGACCTTGAGCCTGTCCGTTGACATTCACTCAATAATTACTTACCGAGTTTCTAGTGGTGTGCCTGGTCTAAAGCCTAACGTCTAAGTGCCAAGCCTAAAGCCTAAAACCTGGCCCTGGAACCCCAGTGGACAAGCCAGGTTCCTTGGAACTTTTGGTCTTGTGGAAGACAGGCATGGGATTAGACGAACAGATCCCAGAGAGGCTAGGATGGGGCCCGAGGACAGAAGCCTGGCCCAGTTTTCTCCTATAGACCTGAGATGGATGGGCAGGGCTATGGATGCAAGCTGCTCCCTGGAGCCCCGAGATTCTTCAAGGCACCCCCAGTACTGCTCCACAAAGGGCCGAGCTGGGAGCAGCTGAAGTTAGAACCTAATAGGGCTGCAGCCTTCTACTCAGCTCCGTCCAGCTTCCAAGTTGGGATGCTGGTGGCTATCCATGTCAGCATTTCCCTAGGACTCCCTTGTTCCCAAGTGCTTCTGCTAGGGTTCTGGGCTCTGGGGAACAAGGAAACTACCTCTCTATCTGCTGTACCGCCTCAACCCACAAACAGACCCTGTACCAGGACAGCCAGCTCCCTTTCTAATTGTGGGTCTGCTAGACCTAGGAGAGCCCCAGAGGCCCTGCAGTAAGTGCTGTTGTCCCTCAAAGAACTCAGGCTCTTTGGGGGTCAGGCCCTCTCTCTCTGTGCATCCCTGGATGATTTCCTTCCTTCCTTGAGCCTCACAGTGAGCTCTGCTTGGGCTCAAGCCCAGTGTCATAGGAGTGGGAGAGGCCCCCGGGCTTCATGTTAGTCACTGGACAACTCGTTCATTTCAGTGCAAATGTATCTTTATTCCTATGTTTAGCCCTAATATTGGGCACTGATGTGTGTGTGAGGTGAGAGATGGCAAGAATAACAAATTGCTTCCACCCATGGACCTCAGTTTCCCCTCTGTCAAACAGAACACTCCTCTTGCTTGACCTCAGTTTCCCCTCTGTCAAAAGGAACACTCCTCTTGCTTCCTTCATTGGGATACTGTGAGGCCAGAAGGCAGCAACAAATAAGCAGGGCCTTTTGGCCAGAGGTTTCTCAGCACAGAGGGACTCCCAGACGCAGTCCTTGCCTGTGAGGGCTCACTGTCTGGGAGGGGACCTGTGTCCAGGACCCTCAGAAGCTGACCAGCAGCAGTTGGTGACCCTGTGACCAAGTGATGGCCATGCAAGAGCTTCTCAGCCACAAGTCTGGCTTCCTCAAGCTCTGTCCTGGAAGTAGGTGAATGATCTTGTGGAGTCTTGTGTGGGGCTGGGGCACTGACACCCTTGCTTCTGAGCAGGCTCCTAAAACCTATTCATGCACGTCATAGTGCTGGGGGCTCAAATGACACAGAGCTGACCCCTTCTCAGCCCTTTAGGAGTCTTTGCTGAGAGCCAGCCTTGGAGTGGGAGGGGCAGGACCTGGGTCAGCCACAAGGGGCTCCACGTGAACTGAAGAGGGGCCTCCTCCAGCCACGTGACACAGGCTGGAGCAGTCCATAGTCCAGAAGAGCCGCGAAGAGGCCAAGTCAACATCGGGTCACCGTCTTCCAGCACTGCTAGCTAGTGGTGTCCTGCAGGGACTCTCGGGAGGCCGACTGACTCAAGGCCACGCGGGGGAAGCTGGCGACAAAGCTCTCCCACTTTTTCCGCACCTGCTGGAAGACCAGGGTGAGGGGGATGAGGACCCAGGGCTAGCAGTGGGTTTGGGGTGCTGTTCTACACACAGCCACGAGGTGGGGGTAGACCCCAGGAGGAAGCGACCCTCACCTGCGACCCTTTTGCTAGTGAGGCAGGAAGCCCCATACCTCTTCCAAGGTGGTCTGGATTTTCCCTTTTCCCCGGGGTGAGAGGGGAACAAAATGACACCCTGGGAAAGATGCGCTGCTGACCTCCTTGCCTCCTGCTCTGTCACATACTACATAGCACATTGACTGTCTTAAAGCAGCTCTAAGTACATCGCACACATCCATCCCCAACCTAAAATCTTCAGTGATTCCCCAGTGTCTATGGGAAAATCCCAAACATCTTCAGGACCTTTTTCCTTTTTTTTTTTTTTTTTTTTTTTTTTTTTTTCATTTTTTTTTTTTGCAGAACCAGAGATTTTTTTTTTTTTTTTTTTTGGTACCAAGGATCAAACTCAGGACCTTGTGCTTGCCAGGCAGGCACTTATGCACCTGAGCTATCTCCCTGGTCCCAGGGCCCTCTTAAATATGACCCGTAGGTGCCTGCCTGCCTCTGTTCTTGCCTCCAGACCACTGTACTGTTTTCCTGGTCTGTAGCCTGTGTGTGTGTCCATCTTGGGCCTTTGCACCCTGGTGCCTCTCCCTGGAGCCCTCCTCTCTCCTGCAATGGCACCACCCTTCCTCCAACCCTCAGGATACCTGTTGGTACTGTTTCAGCCACTGCCAGCTGCCTGCTCCTTGCTGGGCTTGGATCAGCTGCTCTGTGTCCCCCAGGCTCCCGGGCAGCCTCTCCTCAGCAGGGCCCTCTAGCCCGTCTGGGCCTCCATCCGGGGCCTGAGATCTGTACTTCTCCCGGCCCTGCCGGAGACTCAGTGCTCGCCGGAGTTGTCCTTCCTGGAGCTTCCCATAGGAAGACCGGGTTTCTCGAAAGGAGAGGCTGCGCAATCCTGTTCCCATAGCTCCAGAGGCTTCCTTTGTGTGGGACAGCAGGTAAAGTCTGCTGTCTCCACCTATCGAACAGGTGATCTCCTAGGGGCAAAGGTTGGCCCTGCTGAGGTGGCCACTGTAAACCAAAGGGCAGGCCATGGGTTGAGCATCTCTGAGTCACCCTCCTCACTGCCACCCCACCTTCTGGAGCAAGGAGTTCAGACCAAAGGACTGGTTCTTAGTGTGCCTTCTTTGTCCTCCTCCTCCTCCCCCTCCCCCTCTTCTTCCTCCTCTTCCTCTAGATAGCCCTCCCTGACTACCCTGATCTACAAGACATCTGCCTCCTCTAAACCCTTGTGGCCCTATAACAGAGAGGCATACTTTGATGAACCAGGACAGTTCTAACCTAGTACAGTCAAAACCAGAGAGCTGCAAAGCAGACCAGTGCTTCCCAGTGGCCAGGCCATGGAGAGGTCTTGTTTAATTGCTATGGCTTTTCAGTTTTGCATGAGGATGAAAGCTCTGGAGGTGGGATGCTCAACATTATGAGGGAAGCCCATTCTACTGACCTGTCCACTGAAAAAGCCTAAGGTGAGAAATTTTTGTGTTATGTGTATTTTACTACACTAGAATTTTTTTTTTAAAAAGTAAATAGTACAGCTCCAGGCTAGGTCCGTCCTTCCTTCCCCTCTCCTCTCCTCTCCTCTCCTCTCCTC